GACTCAGTTAATCCCATGCTTGACTGGTTGTGGGGCCGAGGAACTGCAAAGCTACGTATCACATAATTCGGGGAAAATATGAGGGTTATGGGATCCACAGACCATGACTTAGTTAACTTGAATTTTATTTTTTAATGAGAGAAACAACGAGCTTTGCAAGCTGATTTAAAGTCTCCACGTCTAACTGCATAAGGGTTTAATACCCATGCAGTGTGAGTTAGCAAAAATGAAAATTTTCACTACAGTAAATAAACTGAGGAGCCTGAAAACCAAATTGAAGTCTGTAGCCTAGAAAATCAACAAGGGCTAAAAATAGTATGATTAGAGGCAACATTCAACCATAGGCCATCCAAAGGTGGTTTTTAAGTACCACCAAAGGAGAAACCAGGTCATGATATGATAGGTTTAAAAAAATATATAGGTCTAGAGAACACTGTGTTCATTATGTAGGTGTGGAAGCTTAAAGTATAGATTTGGTTTTCTGAAGTTGTGATTTTTCATGATTTTTCCTCCACGAGAATTAAGAGAGCACCCCCTCTGATTTCCAAAAGAGAAATGTTGCCATAATCTACATGAAATTGAGAATTCACTTTGGTGACATTGTTGTGATGGTTTTAGAATACAATTGCCGTTTCCATTAAGCATATCAAACAAACAGCTCCAGCATTCATTGATATCTTAGCAAAAAGCCATAGGATCTCTTTTAGAATAAGCACATAGAAATATCGCAGGGTCAGGAGAAAGAACACAGAGGAGGATGCCTTGTAAGAGTTCCCTGTGCTCTTGTGCCATCTCATTTGAATAGTGTCAGCCGACATCAAGGTCCTTGGTAAGTTTTTGCTTGCAGGCATGTGCAATTTTTGAAAACAAGATTAGTTGGGTAAATCCTAAACATTACAGAAATTTCAAATGATTGATCTGAGCTGCACATGACTGTCGTGAACTTTTGATTGACCAGGGTACTGTAAAGTCCTCAGGAGTCTTGTCCTTCCATTGGAATTTTCTTTTAGCGTTGTAGAGCATCCAGTAAATGTCTTGTCTGAGCAGGAGAAGTGAATTGAGTGAGTAGGACTGATAGTCCTTTCTCAGCTTCCAAGGATAGCCAAGAATTTTTTTTTCTCCCTAGTATAGAAGAGCAGGGCATTGGGAATGGATGATTAAGCTGAGATAATTGATAAAATCAAACTCCAGTATCCTGAAAACTGGTGTTCATGAAAACAGATGGATGAAGTCTTGGATTTCACTGCATGATATAGGAACTGGAATGTGAAAAAAGGAGATTATGATGTTAGCATGATCAGGGCTTTGCTGACTGTAAAAAGAAATAGTAAAAGTGTCAATCCACCTTTTCATAGTTCCTTTTCTGTGGGACAATAGCTCACTCTCAGACTTTCCTTGTCAGAAATTGAACTCAGCAAACATTCATTAAGCTCTGACCATGCCAAGCTCTAGGTTCTGGGTGTTCAAAGATGAGTGTGACTGAGCCCCTGTCCAAAACAATACTCATTCTAATGGAGAATAACCATTGTTAATGCCAGTGTTTTATACCAAATGAATTTTGGTGATATTATTTGAGGACTAATGACCAAAAATATATCCTTCATTAAAATTCACACACAATTCATCCCCTGTGAGGCTAGGCTGGTGTTATAAAGGCATGGCTGTCCATACTGTGGGCAAAAGCAATTTCTAGATGGATTGTAGATCTAAATGTGAAAAAATAAAGATTCTAGAAGAAAACATAACCTATATTATGACCAGAATAGGCAAATGTTCCTTAAATAGGGCATAAAATGTGCTAACTATAAAAAGGAAAATGGGCAAATTGGGCAACATTAATAAAGAATTTCAGTTCATTACAAAATACCATTAAAACTGAACTCTATGTAATGGGAAATTTTGCAATACAAATATTCAAAAAGAATTTGTGCATATTATATATAAAGAACTTCTACAAATCAATAAGAAAAGGTAGATTGCCCCATAGAAATATATGAAATAGACTTGAATAAGCACTTCACCAAAAAGGATGTTGGTTGTCTTGATTGGGGATAATGACTGAAAAGGGGCACAAAGGACATGGTAATAATCTTGATTACTTGGGTGTATTTGCTTCGTGAAAATCCTTCAAATGATGATCTGTGTACTTTTCTGTACTATCACTGAAAAAGTGTATGTAAAAAAAGAAAATGCCTTGTCCAGAATGAGGAATGTGAGCAAAATATTTTCGGAAGCTAACACTGACTGTAAAATATGTCTCCGTATTTAGCATTGTAGCTACTATGGAAGCAGAAGAAGTGTTCCAAGCATGGGACTTTGCAAGAGCAGGTCCAGTTTGTAAATCAATCCTCCACAGGATCTGGAAGTATCTTGAATTAGCATAAGGCCTTTGGCCACCAATATCCTGAGAAGGGAAGAAAAGAACAAAAACAACGGTAGTGGGAGCATTAGAAGCAAGCTTGATTACAATTTTGTGTTTGGCTAACTCCGCCTGTAGTCCTGTTTAAGTCACCACTTACTGATCCCCCTTATCATGTGCACAGGCACTGAGATAGGGACTTTCTGTGCATTAAAAAATTTAAATCCTCAGCACAATCCTAGGAGGCATGTACTATTATTATTTGACTTTACAGAAAAAGAATCTGGGGGCTTAAAGAGATTGCATAACTTGTTCAAATTCCAGCTAGGAAATAGCAACAAGCTGCAACTGGAACCCATGTCTTTGTGTTTCAAAAAGCCTGCCCCCTTGGCATGTCTATTACGTGGCCTTATTTAAAAAACCCCAAAAACTAAAACCAAAAAACCCAATTTATTTGCTTGACCATAATTAGGAGAAGAAGAAAAAACTTAATATATACTTAATGTTCAAATTTGATGGTTAGAAGCACTTCTCAAGCCTATTTTAAAGTCTGAGGCTTGCTGCACTATAGGTTTTTATGAACTGGAGTTTTCCTTTTCTGTTGAAATGTAGTAAGGGATACCTGGCCAGGGAAGAGATTGAGAAATCCTCCAAAAACAACACAGTTTATTATGGGAATGCCCCTGTAGGGGTGACCTGCAAGCCTTTCTCAACGCTTTAGGGACATTTTAACAACCTGAATAATTGCCTGTTATAGGCAGTCTTTGTTTTCTGCTCATTAATAACTCTCCAGGCTAGATTTTATTCTTTCTGCTAATTCACATGCAGAGAGACATAAAATGGATGCTGCCAAATGATTGCCACATCACTGTCTGCATATCAATGCTCTCCTGCCTGCTTGGTCACAAGGAGAAGGAAAGGAGAAGAAAAGGAAAAGGGTATGACAAAGAACCTGTGATACTTGAATCTGTTTTAAAAGTCAAATTCTAGCACAGAAACCAGAATTCTGACATATATAAATTATTGATATTTATATATGGTTAGGGTTTTGGGATTGCCTTACTTAGCATATGCATGTCCTCTTTCTCTCTTTTGGTGATACATACCATGCCTTGGAAGCACACACAGGTAAATATTTAATACTTTTAGTTCTTTTTGCTCCTGTGGCTTGCTTTTGGTCCTCAGGACATCCATGTTTGTAGCCTGTAGAGTGTTTTTAGCATTAGAACATCATCATAACCCTAAATGAAATCTGAATTTTTTACTTCCGAATGTGTCTCCCCAACAGTCTAATGACTGTAATGACTGTGTAAGCAAGATGGCGGAAAGGCACCAGAGCTGATTTGAATAGAAATATATGTGGACATGGCTTTAGAGCTTTTGGTTTATTAGAAAAAAATCTCCTTTTTAAAATACTTGGGGCTAGTTGTTCTGCTTTTATTGTTGTAACGATACACAAGAAGGAAACCCCAAACAAGTTGAGATGATTGAAAATGCCCACATCCAATCCAACTTAATTTATTTCTCTGGAATCTAGCTAGTTATATGGACTTGTTTTATGTACACATACTTATAAGAAAAACTGGACAGGAGCTCTGGATTGCATCTTTTAAAATGTAAAACTTCTAGTTTAGAAGTGGATTCTTCTTCAGGAGATATGTAATGATTTATTAATTTAATTAGCACTGTATTTTATGTCTTGATACTATTCAGAGTACTGTAGGAATATCTGTTGTGATTTTGGAGGCTGCTAGGTTGTTTCCCCAAATGCCTTGACAAGAGCAGTTTGACTTAGTTTGGTGTAGGCAGTGCCTGGGTGCTTCAGTAACCATAGGGATTTTTTTATCTTGGATTCATTTTGATAAATTGATACTCTCAAGTACATTTAAAGTTCTCTTTTTTGGAGGAGAGTCATTACCACTGAGTCCTGACTTTCCTCTTTCTACCTTCAGATATTATTATTAGTGATTTTATAAATAGAAAATTATTTTCCAGGCGGGCCTATGTCTATACTGGGAACAGGTGGCCTCATTTAAATGGCCAAGACTTTGCATGTGTAAAATGGGCACGTTTTCAGGCAGTTTGGGTAGGTTTTCCAATCTTTGCTCTCCATTTCCTGTCTAAACAACTTATACCATGTCCACAGCATGTTTATGCAACATTGAGTAAAACTTCTAATGGGAAATTTCTTCCAGGTGACCTCCTTGAGAGACTAGACTGTGAAGAAATTATAAGAACCTCGACCCTGATGAAATTGCCTCCATTGAGAATATTACTTGGTACAGGAACAAGGGACAGAATTCAGTTATTTCTGGTTCTTGAATAAATGAATTCTGTTTCCTTTTGTGTAGGTGGCAGAAGAAATTAACCCCTGCAGACGATCCAGTCTCAGTTGGAAATTGAACTTTTGTTTTCTTTTGAGTTAGGAGAGCCCTGGATAAGAGAATGTTAAATTGTTTTTACTTGGACTTCAAGTAACTTGGAATTGGTTCTGTTGCTTACATGTCTTTACATTTAATTTTCTGTGGTTGTTTGTCTTTACATTTAATTTTCTGAAGGCTGGGATCGTGACTATCAAATGACTTCCAACTTAGTGCCATGTGTGGGTGGATACTAAAGAGTCCTTTCTTTACCTTTCTAGCACTTTTAGAGAAGTCAATCAGTAGAAGGCGGGACACCGAAGCCATACAGAAAGCCAAAATCCTTTATTCATCCTGTATGAATGAGAGTGAGTAATAAAGAAAATAAATAAAATATTTGCCATCTTTATCCTTCAGCATTCTATCAATGTTTAGAGATGTTGTTTGAAGAAAAAGAGAACTACTAATAATGCTATTAATGTTTAAAGATATTGTTTAAGGAAAGGAATAGTTGTCAAAGACTGGACTTTGGCTTGTCCTTTCTTAGTTAATGTTCTGTTGCTGGCTTGGTGGATAAAATAATCTTATTTCTATGGCTTGGATTTTTTGGGTATCAGTTACACCATGAGAAACTTGAACAGGGTCAGTGGGGTAAATACCACTGTACCTGGTGCAGAAACCAGAATATAGAGGCCAAGGCCAGATGTAGTCTGAGAAAGAGGCTGGGAGAAAGTGCACTTGGCCAGGCATGCCAAGTTCCTGTGTCAACCTAATGGCACCTTTGCCAGGTTAGGACTGCCTCAACATCTTGAGTTTTACTTGCGTTGGAAGGAACTCTTGCCATTTTACCTGGTTTGCTTTCTCAAGGCCATTGCAGGAAGAAGTCAGAGCCTGTGGGAAGTATGTTAACTGGTCTAGGATTTGGGGTATCATTTGGTGAGCTAGAAGAGAGCAGTAAAAGACAAGAACATAAAGCATTAATTTACCTTCATTGGGGAGTGATGGGCTTTAATGAGGCTTTTCCTTGTTTAGAGTTGTTATTTAGTTCCACCAAGTATTTATTATTAGCCTAACATAATTTATTGACTGGGATCAATGTCATGAGCCATGGTTTTTTGTTTTTTTTTTTGAGTTGGAGTCTCACTCTGTTGCCTAGACTAGAGTGCAGTGGCCGCTCCCGGCCACCGCAGCCTCGACCTGCTGGGCTCCGGCGATCCTTCCGCCTCAGCCTTCCCAGTAGCCGGAATTACAGGCATGCGCTACCACGCCCGGCTGATTTTTTGATTTATTGTAGAGATGAGGCCTCGCCTGCTCAGGCGGGTCTGGAACCCGCAGGCTCAGGCAATCCACTCACCTCAGCCTCCCAAAGGCGCGGGATTACAGGCTGAGCCACCGAGCCCGGCTGAGCCATGTTTTAATGTAAGGAATATCCAGCAGTTTTCGTAGTCAGCTGTCCTGGCAGGAACACCAGGTTTAGACAGTCACATTGAAGTGTGGATTGTGGGTAGTTCTGTCTCTGTGGTTATGTTCATTCCACCTCACCTCTCCCACGGCTGAAACTTTAACTTGAGGCCTTGTGGGTATTTTCTCTTGAGAAGATGCACTTGCATTCTAGGTTGGTGATCTAGTTTGCAACTCTAACTCTCCCTTCATATCTGCTCCCTTTCAGAAGCAATTGAAAAAGCAGACGCCAAGCCATTGCTACACATCCTGCGGCATTCACCCTTCCGCTGGCCCGTGCTTGAATCTAATATCGGTCCTGAAGGGGTTTGGTCAGAGAGAAAGTTCAGCCTTCTGCAGACGCTTGCAACGTTTCGTGGTCAATACAGCAATTCTGTGTTCATTCGTTTGTATGTGTCTCCTGATGACAAGGCATCCAATGAACATATTTTGAAGGTATAGTGGGAACTCACTCATCCCCAAGATTATCCTTTTGGGGTGACTTCCTGGGAAAAGAGACGCATGCTGTCTTAGTGGACTAATAAGGTAAACATTTTATTGAACAGTAGGATCTAGACTTCCCTCCATACCCCCAGATTTGAGGAATATAGATTATTACCAGGTACGTTTTGTCAGCCTTTCAGGAAGCTGGAAAATGAGTTTCAAGTGATCTGTGATCTGGCTCTCAAATGGCCACTCAGACCGTCTCTAAGGCTTCTGAATTTCAGTGGGCAGGGAGCTGTGGGTTTCCTGTCCTTAGCAAAGATTTTCTGAACTCTGCTCTTTCCCTTGCTTCCCCATTCCCCTACCATAATTCTTTGTTCTTCTTTAACTAACACTGTATCGTGTACACACCTAAATTTTTTGTTGTCAAGTTCAGTCTGAATCTCTCCTCCTTCCTTTAAAAATGTAAAAGTTCTGTTCTAAGTGTTTGGTTGCATTTTCCCTTGGGAGAATAAGCATCCACTTCCCTAAAGTAGTGAGTCATGTGGACATACCCTGAGACAGATCACATTGATCAAAGCAGGAGTTTGTCAGAAAACTAACAGTGAAAGATTTCACCAATGAAAGAACTTTGCAAGAATTCACATAACATTTCTCAAATCGTTTTTGCTTTGATCTTGCTGGGTTTTTTTTTCTTCCACCATTATTTTGACTAATAATGAAAATGTTACTGAACCACTGATTTCCCCCCTAATTCTGTCCTTAGTCATACCAGAAAAATATTAATGACATTGATATTCAAAATGTAGAACTGTATCACCCTCACCTCATATATAAGTCAACCTTCCAAAATTCAAATTCTGGAGTTTAACTTTTGATTTAGAACAGTGGTTGGAAACTTTTTTGTCTTTTGTTTTTTGTAAAGGGCCTGATATAACATATCTTAAGCTTTTTGGATCATCTGGTCTGTGTCACAGTTGTTCAGTTCTGCCTTTGTACCTGGGAAAGCAACCACAGACAACATTTTTTTTTTTTTTTTTTATTGGAGTCTCACTCTGTCACCCAGACTGGAGTGCAAGTGACCACTCCCGGTCACCGCAGCCTCGACCTGCTGGGCTC